TTTCGTGATAGCTTTCATAATCAGCAATCAATAATGTATTTAATATGTCCAGAGACAACAATAAGGCCCTTGTGCAGGAGCATGCAAAAGTAAAACAACAAAAATAAACAGCAAAAATAAACAACACAATACACGGTCCTGTATTGCAATAAATCAAAGCAAAATGGCAAGAATAAAATGACAAGATGAAAATCATAGAATGACAGTGAAAAATAATGCGGAATATATACAACTATGCAGAAGGCTTCCTGAAAGATTGAAAAAGGAAGAATCTACATATTGTGAGAAATTATGTTAAGACAATGCAAAGCTCAGATAAAGACAATGACTGCAGGCTATTAAAAACATTAAAATCAAGAAACTTGACATTATAGAGACTTTGTGTTCTGTGAACGATAGAGGGTTGTAAGAAGTTGGCAGGTACATTAAACTGTCGGTAAATCACTCTGGTTAACTTGCGCTGAATCCGAAAATTTACACAACAGAGAAGTAAAGTACAGGTTATCATATTGTGAACTAGCTTGTAAAGAAATAGCAGGTCGGTGCGATTTCGTTCGCAGTAAAGTGATGGCAGTGATAATAATCTAGCAGTGTTAAAACAAGATCCAGAGTCAATTATAGCGAAACAATGGTTGTAAATGCTTATGAATTTTTTTCTGGACTCAATGGTGTTAATGCGGGGTTTAGCAATGCCATTCCAGATCACAGATGCACACTCAAGTTGAGGAAGACATATTGCAGTGTATAATTTGTTGAAGGTTGTAAGAGAACTGAATAGACCTCTACCGGGGTACGTCACAGCGCGACGTCACCGGTGCACGTGCAAGGCTGTGGTTGGCAAAACACTCCCGCTGGTTGCTGAGTGGGGTACCATCGCTCACTGCTTGTGGCAATTTTTTTTCTTTTTGAAAGCTTAATCTTCATCTCACCGCGGCGACATTAGCTGTGGTATGTGTCAGAGAACATCTAGGTGTGTGATAAAGTGCCTGATGAAATATTTGCCACGCTGGCTGGCTGTTTATCTTGGAGAAGTGAACACACGTGGCGGCCTGTGCGAGGAACAGCGGCATCGTCTTCGAAAATGTGCAGTGTTGACTGGGGCGTGTAGTGTGTGTTGAGAGACATCGACAATACTGGTTCACCTTTACGGACAGTGAAACTGGGAGTATTGTGCGTGGTGTGTGCAGTGTGAGTAACATGATGCGTCCTATTTGTGAAAATACTGGTATTCCTTGTGGGCTGGCTTCAGTAACCGGTTGTCGACGGAACTTCACGATCTGACATTCTAGTCAAGGCAAAAATGCATTTGACGCGATCATCGGCAAGTGGGTACATCTCAGCGTATGTGCGGCGTGCAGAAAAATGTAAGTGCATAATCTCTGGGCGATATATATGACTACGCATGAGCTATAAGCATGTTGTAGAGTAACCGAATCTGCATATATGCTTCAACACGGCTATAACTCGTATTGTCGAATACCTGATATGTGTTAATGAAAACAACAGCGGAGATATTTGCTTTTTTTATCTACTTTGTACTTTTACGGCTCGATTCTTATGAAGTGACAATTTGCATTATAAGTTGTGTATCAGGCCTAAAGGAGCAATATAGGTTCGAACATGAACAGCAACCTTCAAACGGACCGTATCTTTCTTGACTTTTCTAAAGCCTTTGATCGTGTGCCACATTGCCGACTAATCTCTAAGCTATCTGCTCTACGAGTTGATTCTTTAACATTAACCTGGATTCGAAACTTCATTTTTTTTCGACAGCAGTTCACTGTTGTTAACAATCTTGCGTCCCCTTTTTCTTCTGTTAGTTCGGGCGTACCGCAAGGCAGCGTCCCTGGGCCCTTACTATTTTTAATCTACATTAATGACTTACCCTCCGAGATTACTTCTTGCATGCATCTATTTGCCGATGATTGTATAATATACCGTTCTATAAACTCCAGTAATGACCACTTAATCATTCAAGCAGATCTCAACCATATTTGTAACTGGTGCGACAAGTGGCTTATGAAACTGAACTCAACAAAATGCGAGGTAATGTCTTTCACGCGTAAACACGTAAACTCTGAATTCTCCTATTACTTGAATAATACCATGCTTTCCCATACTTCTTCCTACAAATACCTAGGTGTTCTTCTCACAGAGAATCTTTCATGGGCCTTACATATCGAGTCTACCTGTGCCAAAGCGTCAGGTTCACTGGGCTACCTACGCCGCAACTTGAGAAATTCCCCTACTAATATTTGAAAACTAGCCTTTCTTACCTTTATTCTGCCAATATTAGAATTCGCCTCAGCAATTTGGTCTCCTCATCAAAACTACTTGATTATTATGGTAGAAAGGATTCAAAATAGAGGTGCCCGCTTCATATCACGAAACTACAACATCACGTCAAACATAAGGCAAATTAAATCAGACCTTCAGCTGCCGTCATTGGATAGCCGTCGCAATATTGCTCTTCTCTGTCTGTTCCAGAAATATATTACCTCTAATAAACGAACACGGCTTCAGCTTCAAACACCTCACTCTTTTTCACGCAGATTGCATAATCAGTTCAGCTTCATGCGCATATACGGGTCAACTAATGCATTCAATTCATCACCACTGCCTCGGGCCGTTTGTCTTTGGAATGACCTCCCTGATTGCATAGCCTCCATATCTAATCCCGATACGTTTCGCCGTCAGCTACTCACTCTGTTCACCATGTGACCCTGTTTTTGTATTCTGAGTGCATTACGTAACATTGATTTATATTCCCCTTGTCTTTTATGTTAAAATGTATCCCTCTGTTGCCTTGTTCATATCAACAAGTGCTGTATTCCCTTAAATTTACCTCGCCCTGTATAGCCTAAAATGTGATCTCATTTATATATATATATATAGTTTTTCGTTGTTCTTGCACTGATCCTGCCTGTAAACTGTTCGTTACCTGTCTGTACCATTTCGATTCCTCCCCCCCCCTTACCCAATGCCCTGTTCTGGGGCCTGTAAGGTTTTTTTTGAATAAAGAATAAAAACACGTTGTAGGTCTCAAATGCAGCAAGGTAACTGTGCCAAATATTATTATACATTATTAAGATGTCGGGTTTTACATCCCATGAATTTTCCCCGGGTTATTGAGAAACGCAGCGGCAGAATTTCACTTTGATTTTTACGAGGATTTCTTCTTGCTGTGGCCTAAGCCACAGCAAGGAGTGTTTCTCTCTTTTTTTTTTTTTCATTTATATCCGATCAGACTTTTAGGCAATGCGTGAGAATCTTATTCGTGACGTTGCGCACAGCAGCTCAAAACAATGCTGCCGCCAATGCTGTACCTCGTTTAAAACTACATTGCACATTCCACGATGAAAGTTGAATAAATTTACATCCATGCCACGCAAATATTTCTCAAAGTGCCAGTAACCGTGTGCATTCGAAACGTTCCCTTTCGAAAAAAGATCAGATTTTTTCTATGGCTGCCATCTACTTGGGCGAAGCCCACTGCGTGCTAGTCGCATCTCTCAGTACTCTAAACAAAGTTTCTCCATCCATTCAACAACGACGAGCAAATTTCTACACTATGAGCAGTGACCCTTCCGCGACTCCTTCTTTCAAAAGCTGTGACTTTAAAACATAGCAATGTAGAAATTTCTATCGAATGAATACAGACACGCAGCTCTGCTATGCAGAAATATGCCGCCGGAGGAACTTTCTTGCCAACCAGCCCCTGCTACGAGAGAGGGTATGGGGGCGGCGAGCCCGCAGTGACGTCACACTGCTTACAAACAGGGAGAGGTCCATTCTCCAGAGATTCAGCAAACACAGCTGAGAGGAACAAAGGCCTCATCTCATCAGGGCAATTGAGGTTTCATGAAAGGTCCAAGACTAAAAAACGAGGAACGCTTGACTATGGTCCCACTTTTTACAGCAGGCAGCAGCAAGAAACATTATATACATTGCAGTTGTATTCACAACAAATAAAAACAAAGAAAAAAATAGAGATCTATTCATAATGAGAACGAGTGAAATACAATTCAACATGTTTCCCTTATTAAGAAAAAAAAAAAGCTTAGAAATTGTTCTCAATTACTTAAAACAACATAAAGATGAAATAACAGGTTAAATTCGAAGATGAAGCATGTAACAGTGCTGGCAGACCGTGATTTGTAGGATTTGGGTGTGCACAGAAGGTGCAATGTTTAAAAACTTGGAACAATTCAGCGCCCAACTATATATTTGTGTCCATCAGTATCAGAAATATTGCTGAGGGGAACGTCCGCATTGTGAAGTTCATTAGGAATCAGTGGTAACTTGGAACTAATCATCTCACAGCTGTAATTCATTCAGCTCCTCACAAAGACTTCCCTCACATAGATTTCATGAAACAAGAAACTTTTGAGGGCTCAATTCTTTGTTTGATGCAACTTTAATGACAAACAGCACATAATGAAGCCAAGGAAGGTATAGGGGACGGTAATTGTACTGTGTAAATTGTAATGATTGTGATATAGGCATGAATAAAGTAGGGTGTAAAAAGCAACTCGCCGCTGGCAGGGACCGACTCTGCAAACTTCGGATAATGCGCCTGATGCTCTAAAAATCGAGTTATGGCAGCGATCGTCCTCTTGTCTACATTATCAGATATTCCTATGCATGCAAACCTGGTAGCATTAGACAGCCCCACTAGTAGCCACGGCAGTGAGTGGCCATTCGCCCTCATGGCCACAAGCGGCGCTGACTAACACTCCCAGGTTTGCATGCACATAAATACCCGATAGCATGGAATAGAGGACGACTACCACCTTAGCTCAACTGGTAGAGCATTGGATGCGTTATGCGAAGGTTTTAGTTTAGGTCTTTGCCAGGTGTTCGTCTTTTTGTCCGTTTCACTTTCTCCACATCTACATTACAATTACTGCAATACCCTTTTAAACAGTAAAGTTAACATTTCTTACACTTCCTTGGCTTTATTATCTGCTGGTTGTCATCCCAGAGAATGTGTAACTCACCGGCTGGGGCGTTGTCGAATACACGTAGGTCGTAAGCGCCTTGGTAGCCGACACGGTAGTTAGTGCGTGAGCCCGAATCCCACTGCACCACGACGGTGCGGTCTGGCGAAGAGGTGCTTCCAGGTTCACCGATCTCCACGAGGGTGCCCACATGTCCCTCACCACCATCCTGGTTCGCCCACTTCCAGTCTGGCCCACGAACCACTCGCAGGCCAAGTTCCACAGCCATTCGCACACTATCACTCGCACACTGCTCACGCAGTCACTACCTTTGATGGACTGGGTGTACATTCGCTGCCATCCTGCAAAGTGAGCGTAAAAGAAATGGCAACAGCAACAGTCAGTAAAAAGTGCTACTGTCACAACACCTTGACAGCTAGCACATACTGATTGGTGCTGACATTTTAGAGAAACAAGTTACGTTTCATTCTACATCATTCTTATATGTGCTACCGATGGTACCATGGCCATTTTAGAAAGCGAGATCTCTCAGCCTACAACAATGGGCCTGCTTTAAATATTACCATTCAGGACCATTGCGGGATCGCATTCAGGACAAAACAATTTTCCAGGCTGGTCCACGAAGAGGTCTCTTGGTATACGAGGCAACTAGGCGTCCCAAAGCTGCAAACATCTTTTTGTTTGCCTTTTTTGTTCATTTGGCTAAGGTTCACCCAATCACTCCTCAATTCTAGTGAAGCTAGCATGTCTTTGATATGACAAAAAAGATTACATTGCGGATTGAAAATGAAAAATATATTTTGGTGTCGGAAACGGCTTCAATGCATAAGCGGTCAACTTAGAATGAACAATTACGGGGGACTAAGTAATCAATTATCTACTGCTATTGCGGAAAGATAAAAAAAGGTGTCTCGATGGCCAAACAAAAACCCTGCAAGCACACGTTACAGCACCCCGTAAACTTTGCGACACAAAAAACGCCGCCCACACTTTTGAGCGTGGGAAACATCTCGCGTGCGGCCAAGAGTCGGCGGGGCATACCCGTCTGCGAAAACATAGACGCGATCGCATTCGATGCAGAATCTCAAAACTTCTAGCGCACCAAGCCACACGTACCACGCATTAGTTCCACACATCCGCAGCCATAAACCACTCCCCGTGCGACTGAAGTTGAAGCGACGGTCAAGTCTCGGCGCTGGGAGGAACCAATCGTTGGTCACCATGTCAACAAAAGGACCAAACTTCGCGAAACAATTTCTAGGAGTCCCACCTCGGTGATGCGCACGGATTACGGGAAGCATTCACAAGAAGGCTGCTACTTTTTTTTTTCGGTAAACACAGACGCTGCTAAAGTGACCTGATCGTCGATTTTTCGGCAGGAACCACTGACCGCGGGCAATCGAACCGTGACGGGACCGTGCCTAGGCACGGGAACGGTCCCACGCATACGCTAAACACGGCCCACAAGTCGGTCAAACGACATTTTTTTTCCTCGTGCGTTCGAATGCGTCACAAGGACAACGAATTCGAATACCCGGAGGCACTACACGTCAACGCTGGCGCAAGTGACGACAATGTAAACATGCCGTACAGGAAAAGTAGTAGGCCCGCTACTGCGGCGGTGGACGACAATTCCAGCAAGCCGTAAAACAGGAATCACCTACCTTCTGACTTCGGCACTGCGCAGCGCAGGCATGCGATCGCGCAACAGTCGCTGCTATCTGAAAGAAAACGAATCCCTAGCCGCAGCTTTCCAGCAGCCGCCAACAACAGGAAGCCATGTTGTTTGGAACACCCGCATTACAATAGAGCACGCTCAACCAACCAACCACGGAGCTTCCGTTCACGCAGGCTGGGACACAATGAAAAAAAAAGAGGTGCTTGCTTCCGTCGAAATGCCTGTGTGCTGGCGCAAATGAACGTCGCAATGAATGGAAATGAAAACCGCGGCACTCGAATGATGCCGCAATATCGAGGAAAAGCGGCCGGCCGGCGTAAGGAAAAAAACTGTGCTTACCCTGTCGCAACCAGCGGGGGAAGTACAACATGGTGCGTCGTCGCTAGTGGTTTCGGTTCAGGTTTCGGCGTCTCGGATTACGCGCAGCGGTACTAGCGGTGCGTGCCGCGTTTGTAGCGTAGACTTGCCGTAGCGAAATACAAACAGTTCGACGACACGAGGAAGGGGGACAGCTCGAGGTTCACGCGTAAGGAGCTTCTTTGTTATCAACAGTTGTTTCCTCTTTACAAGTGGAACAACATCGTGGTAACACGCTGGCGATCATCCAAGAATAGATACGTTATTTGCGCAAAATGAGCCATTTGGGAAAACATGCATACGGCGTTGAATAAACGCATCGTCAGCGAGCTGCACTCAAACTGTGAGGATGGCTCAAACAACGGATATCTTATAATAAAAGGAGGAAATAAAATTTCGTAATGGTACAGTTGTGAAAATGGCCCAATGTACATGAATTAAAATGAAGGTTTGTGTGGTTGTTATTTTTCTCTTTATCGTGGCACATATACACTCTGGGGGAATGACCAAAAGGGAGTAGCGTGGCCTATCAGCGAGCAGCCGACGACAGCACAGCCTGCCAAGAACTGCCAGTGCAGATGGAGCGGTGGATCCACTCGGTGGACTGCCAATCTCAGAAATGGGCGATCCAGTAACTCGAGGAGGCCCTGGCCAGGCAGAAGAGAACGGGAACTCGTGACCCACAAGCGCGGGGCACGGGAACCCAAGTATCCTCTGTCGGGTCAGGTTCAGCCCTCGAGTTCTTGGCCTAGTGTTTCTAGGACTGCATAGACTAGAACATTAGAAGAGTAGATCACGCCCTGCGAGGCCGGAACCTACCCCACGCAGGATCCTGTGAAAGTCTTTTCTCTCTCCCTACAATGCTGTTGGTGCGACCAGCTGAGGAAAGGAAGTTCTTCGCACCGTACCGTATATATTTATAATAAATCAATAAAAGGATGATGACCCACTCACGGAGACCGGTCAGGAATTGCTTATGTAATTTAATGAGACTTTTTCCGTATTCATTATTTATACCCAAAAGAAAACATCGTACATAAAACGGAAGGAGCGCAATCATTGTTTTTCATTTGCTCAAATCAGACAATACAGTCGTTATCTTCTGCACAAATTAGCGTGATTAAACAAAAAATTTAGTTAAATTATTCCTGCAGAAATAATGCTAAACCAAGTGAAAACATAGTTTGGTTAGTTTCGTGGAGGTAAGTGCAAACGGCATCACAAACGTTCTTGTGGCTGAAGCCCAAATGCGAAGCACCGAAAGAAAGTATGTTCTAAAAATGATGATGATGCTGTGGCATGGCCTGCTTGTATGGCTTACACCCACTCAGGGGACTGGCCAAGAAACTAGTAATTATATAGAGTGATCACATATTAATTATAAATATAATGAATTATAAAATGGTTAGAATAAATTCAATTTCACTAATTGAGAAACTTGCGATAAAACTGCTTTGATTCGATTAAAAACTTTCTACAAGAGAATAGATATCCCGGTGACAATGATGTAATGAGGAGGCCACCAAAGACACAATATTAGTAATAATAAAGTACAATCTAATTGGAATAAAAGCCGATTTAGGAATGTTCTTCTTCGGTAACTTGAAGCGACTACACGATAAAAAATAATGGTCAATTATTTCATTCTCGTTACACAATGGGCAAAGAACCAGACCAGCTCCATGCATGTAATAATTTAGTTAAAAATGCGTAGCTTTTTCCTCATCTGATTGTGCTATGGTAGTTAAATAAAGCACTTCAACCGTGCGATGATGTTGGGGAAACCCAAAAATTTTGCCTCAATAATAATGGTTATTGTGAAGCCGCAAGTATATATCAAGGGGTAAAAAATCTGTCACTATACTCACTAGTAAGCGAACATGGACCCGTCTTCTTCAATGATCGTGTGGCAGAAAGCTACAAGTAAAATATAAACATCTGCATCGATGCTTTTTCGACGAGTGTGATCCTGTACATGTAAACCCCGTTACACCAGTTCCGACCCCATGAAGAGAAAAAACAAATTGAACGTTAATTTGAGCTCAATCTGAATTCTTACATTGAATATTCTGGTAAAAAAAAGAATTAACCTTGTTAGATACTGTCGCTGTGTACAGGAGTGGTGAAAAGTTCCAAGGTCCACGCTTTCGTATGATTACATATGAGATAGCAGCCCGGGAATTCCTCTTTAGACACCTCTTGCACATCTATCTTGAAATGTTTATCGCGCTAAGACCGGGACAGTAGAAAAAGATTTAAACGCGACAAGCTGTGACTTTCAAACATATTTATTCAGAAAGGTACACTAATAATACACACTGTTACAATCACATTATAATCTCACTTCAATCAAACACGTCTAACAAATGTAAAACTAGAAACCCCTACGTTTTTCAAGAAATACAACTAAAAAATCCACAGCATATATCCACGGAGTGAATGATGATGAATGGGGCGAAGCGTCCATCCGTCCGTCCATGAGTCTGTCCATGCGTCCATCCGTGCTTCCATCAATCCGTCCGTCCGTCCGTCCGTCTGTCTGTCTGTCTGTCTGTCTGTCTGTCTGTCTGTCTGTCTGTCCGTCCGTTCCGTCCGTCCGTCCGTCCGTCCGTCCGCCCGCACGCCGATCTGTCTGTCTGTCTGTCTGTCTGTCTGTCTGTCTGTCTGTCTGTCTGTCTGTCTGTCTGTCTGTCTGTCTGTCTGTCTGTCAACTATACGAAATCGTAAACTGTACGAAAACCACAAACGCCATCTAGTGATATTATTTCCAAGGACATATAAACACAACGCCATCTATTGTATAATAAGAGTGACGCTGCTGGGTACGTCGGAGAGACGAGGGATCTCTCTAAACCATAAGGAGTTTTGCCCCTAAAAACCCAACCAACTAGAGAAGTTGCTATCCTCTCAAGAATAATAAAAAATGAATAGCCGCCACGACCTCTCCTCTTCCCGACTTCGGCACCAACATCAGACGTCTTTTTATCAAGAAACTGAACAGCGAAATTGTTTGTGGCATGTTTTAAATGATTTCATAGGGCGAACTAACGCAATGAAGAAAAGAAAAGAAAGCTGGATAGCTTCGTGTAGCTTTGTATTTTAGGCTGTAGTGTTTCCATTCTTGCGGCCACAATAAATAAATAAACAATAAATAAATAAATACGTCCCCACAAATGGCGACGTGTGTTTAGAAAATATTTAACGATTTCGCGTACTACGTACTTGCAACTATGGGAGAGCCTGTGAGCCACCCAATTTCTGAGGTTATACTCAGATAATTAAGGTGTTTTGCTTTTTTCAAGTACACGTTAATAGACCGGAACGAGACGTAAGTATTTATAGGGCTTATAGATGTCTCCCCCTAGGGTGGTCGAGTGGCTTGAGCGTTCCGCCATGAGACCGCGTTAGGGGAGCCGGGTTAACAACGTGGCTCCAGGGGCAGCGCACAATTGGAGGATGACGCACAAAAACGCAAGAATTTCCCAGCCGGCCTCCACTGTTGGGCTGTACATATTGCATATAGTGTTGCCACCTGGAGTATATAGCCTGTCAGGTGAAAAACCAGGCAAACCTCTCCAGATCCCCATTAGAATAATTCTCTCCTTGTCTTTCGTTGCAGCGTGTAAAGGAAATCGCGTATCTATGCGACGGCTCAAACGGTACACGCGCCGCAGTTTTGAGGTTCTTCCGACAAACGCAGAAGCAGCTCATTAGCAGCACATACATCTTTTCCAGTATGGCTCTGACGACGCCGAAAGAAAAGAAGATCGACAAATGCTGAAGTCATTTGGTTCAGGCAAGCCCCCAGCGTGCCTATGGAGAAAAGAACACGCAATCAACGGCCGTTTCTTCCTAACTCCGTTTCTCTCTTTCCTTTTCTCTTTTTTTAGCGCTTTGCGGAATGAAAAGAAGGAAAAACTAGAAGGGACTAGAACAACTTTGCTGTTGCAGACTTAAACTACGGCGGCGTAATTTCGTAATGTTGTTGTAGAGACGGAAGCTGGCATGACTAAGGAGAGGTTTCAAAGGGATGGCAGTATTGCCGAAGATTTTTTCGCTGGTCGGAAATGAGGGGGCTACCCAAGACAAGTGAGTTCAACACGGGGAGGGGGGGGGGGGCAGGAAGATGGGTAATTCATGGCCGATTCCCGATGGTTGTTTGCGCCAGGCTACAAGGGACAACCAATCAACCGACCGACCAACCAACGAACCGACCGACCAATCAATCAATCAATCAATCAATCAATCAATCAATCAATCATGGTATAACTGTCATTCAAGCGCATGAATAAACAGAAAGGAAGAGAGGACAAGCGCTTCTACCTATAGTTATCTATCTGTATCTACTTTTCTATAATTACTTAGCTACTATACTTGAAGTCAACCTTTGTGGCTTGGGGAGGTAATCTTTATGTCCAGAGATCAGGAATATGCATAGGCTCTTCAGTAGCGCTTGTCCTCTGTTCC